GTGTACGGCGACGACAGCTGCGAGTGGTCCGGGAAGAGCAGGCTGTCCAGCAGGCCGGCGCCACCGTCGGACATGGGGCAGTGCACAACATCCGCCCGGGCAGAACCGCCCTTCTCGACACCGCGGAACGCCCGCTCAATGGCAAGGCCGGCGTCGCACGCGGTGAGCGTCCCCTTAAAGGAGTCACAGCATGCCAGCACGCGCTCCCACGAATACTGCGTCGTCGAAGAAGGCATTTGAATTAATTATCGAATGAGTACTCACCTCGGATTTACTGGCTGTTCTTGCTCTCTGGGTTGTCATTCGCCGTCGCCGCCAGCACGTCAAGAGGGCAGGAAGAGAAGGCAAAGAGGAGAATCGGCGCAGGAGGAGGGCAAGGCAATGACAGACACACGCGTCAAGGTGTGGTGGAAGCTGTATACCGGGAGACACACGCCCGCGGAACACAAACAGGGATGTGTAAATGCATACCCTGGCAGCGGTGCTGGAAGAAGGTGCACGTGGACCACACTTTTTTTGGGGGGTGAATGAGTGAAAGGGAAGGTTGTATGTACTGTTGTTCCTGTGCACCGCTTGTAATTGCGGCGGGAAAAAATACTGAAATGGCACAAAGACAAAAGAGATGGTTGGGGTTGCTGTCTGTGTTGTTTCTGTAATTGCCTACACTTCATCGTCGTCGTCGCCGCCCTTCCACATTGCGGCGTCTTGGCCTTCCTGCATTGCGTTCCGTACCGCAGCGGCGGATGGAATTTCGTTCTGCAGCTGCTTGGCCGTTGGCAGGATTTTGTCCAGCTCTGCAGCAGTGGGCATCGCCATATCGTCCCTCGAATTACCTGGGCCATCGTGTGAGGCGGCGTCACCAAACAGTTTACGGTTTTTCGCTGTCACAGCGATGTCGTCCGCGTGCAGCTTCGCTTCTCCACCAACGGGAAACGTCTTTTGGTTTTTGAATAACGAACGCCGATCCTCGCGCATGGCCGTGTTGTTGTGGCTCAACACGAAGGTTTCCAGTGGCGGTGCCAGGTCCGGCCAACAAGCACGCCTGCGGAGCGACGCGGCGTGCCTGACAGCGGCGGTGGCGGCAGGCGAGTGTGGTGCGCCGAGTCGCCTGAGGGCGTGACGCAGGGGAGTAGACATGAATTGCGCGTGGGTGGGAGGGCTCCGGCCACCGTCCTACAACCTCCCCATTGAGCCAAAAGGAAAAAGGAAAGAAAGGGAGGAGTAGTGCGCAATTGCCAGGACACAGCCGGGGCCCCTCACTTTTGCCAAAAGCCACACAGTTATACACACACGCACGCCAGTGGGAGACGCCCATGCGGTGCGGAAATGCGGGGGCTGCGCGGTAAAGAGAGAAAGACCATGTGAGCGGGAGGGTGATGCTCACAACAACAACAAAAAAAAAAGTACGTGTTTGATAAATACACACACACAGAAAGAAAGAGAGACGGTACGATGACAACGTCAAACGTAAAATAAAGAGGAGCTCTTAGCAGCATTGATGACGGCGGTGATGCTTGCAGATCATATGACGTGCGGTGGGACGCCGTGGTGCGGAAATCACCCGCTGGCCGACTGACGCACACACCCCACGTTTCCACCTATCTTTTCTTCACCCCACCGCTGATGTCAGCCGCAGGCTCATAACGCCTGCACGTGTGATTTCATCCCCTTCGCGGTATTGTTCGTTCTTGGTGTTTTCTTTGTTTTTCTTCTTGGCTTGAGGTTTTCGTACCTCTCCTTTTTCTCTTCTTCTCTTCTCATTCCGCTCCCTCTCCCCCCACAAACACAAACTTCTCCCACTCTCTGTGCTCTCTCCTGTATTGTGGTTTGTGTGCCACTGATGGTTTCTTGGGCCGCCGCCGCCGCCGCCGCCCGTGCCAAATACGCCGGTGCAAATCATGAGCTGGTTCTACTACATTTTTTTCTTCCTCTTCGTTTCACATTCTCTGTGTGCGTGTGCGTGCGTTTATGTCGGCTGTGTGGCTGCGTGTAATTTTGGCATGCGTCGTATTTGCGTGTGTATCATATATGCAGCTGCATCTGTATGTGGGTGGGTGTTTGTGAGTGTGTCATGTATGGTGAGTAGTCCACTCTTGACGTCGCTTGCGCCCCCCCACCTCCGTTTCTTTTTCTTCTTATTGTATGCATCCCCGTCAGCTTTGTGTGTGTGTGTTTTGTTTTGTTTTTATTTTTTTTTGCCGCCGCCGCTGTGCCACTCGAATACGGGGGAGCTGGAACGTGACCCACCCGCGCCTCCCTCATACACACACACCACCTCCGCTTAGAGCCGCTACGGCAGCTGCTTGTGGTAGACGCGCTTGCCCTTCTTGTACACCGCCTCAATGGGGGGATCCACCATCTGGTACACCACATGCTCCCAGCGCGGGGCCTGCAGCACGACGACGTCGGCCCACTTGCCCGCCTCCAGGCTGCCACAGCGATCACTCAGGTCCAGGCTTCCCGCTGCGTTGATGGTCGCCGCCACCAGCGCCTCCTCCACCGTCATGTGCATCAGCACGCACGCAACATTCATCGTGTGCGGCATTGACAGGGAGTGGGCGTTGGGGCAGAAGTCGCTACCGAGGGCCACGGGGACGTTGCCGTCAATCAGCTTCCGTGCAGGGGGTGGCGTGATGCGGAGGACGTACGCAGTCATGGGGAGCAGCACGGCGAACGTCGGCTTTTTGCTCATGCAGGCAATGCCCTCGTCGCTAACCTGCTCAAGGTGGGAGACGGCCTGCGCCCCAACCTCCCCGGCAAGCTCCCCGGAGGCGACGAAGGATAACTCGTCACCGTGGAAGTTCACGTGCAGCCCCGCCTTCTTCCCGGCCTCCAAAATACGCCGCGACTGGTCGTGGTCGAACACGCCAAGCTCGCAGAAAACGTCAATGTTCCGCACATCGTTCCTTCCCTCGGCACGCTCCTGCATGACGGCGGGCAGTTGCACCTCCACCACGTCACGCACGGCCTCCTCCGCCGTCTTCCCCTCCGGCACCGCGTGCGCCCCGCAGAAGGTGCTGACCACCGTCAACGGCCCCGCATCGTTCGCTTGCTTTAGCACCCGCAGCATCTTAAGCTCCGTCTCTCGCTCAAGCCCGTAGCCGCTCTTCCCTTCCACCGTTGTCGTGCCGAAGGACAACATGCGTTGCAGCCGCTTCTGCAGCATCGCTTTGAGATCCGCCTCACTTGCGGCGCGGGTGCTGCGCGTGGTGAAGCCGATGCCGCCACCCGCGCGCTGCACATCCATGTAGCTGGCGCCGTTGAGCTTCAGCGTAAATTCGTGGGAGCGGTCGCCGTCCCACACAGGGTGGGTGTGGGCGTCCACAAAGCCCGGGAGCAGCACCTTCCCGGCGCACTCCACTGTCTCCGCGACGCGACAGTTTTTGGCTGTCACGAAGGCCTGCACCTCGTCGTTGGTGCCCACCGCCGCGATGTTCCCCGTCACCGTGTCGACGAGGAGGGAGCCGTGCGGGATGACCGCGATGCGGTTGCTCTGCACCGGCCCCGCTACGTGACGCTCGCCGCCACGCACCACCTGCACCACCTGCTCCGCGTTCTGGAACAGCAACATCCTCCACAGTGCCCCACCCTTCCACGTGTTGTCTGTTGTTGTTGTTGATGTTGTTTTCCTCGCGACTGCTGGCAACAAACAAACAAAAAAAAAAGAAAAAGAAACGGTCATGCATAAATCCCGTGCAGGTAGACGCACGCAACGGCATGCCTGCCGCTTATAACACAATCGCAGCCGTACGGAGACACACGCGCAGAGAGCAAAACAACTCGACAGTTTTACACTTGAGGAGGGCGTGTGCAGGTATCATGCAAACGTCAACCGCATAAGAAGCAGGAAAAACAAAAGAAGAAAAACAAAACAAAACAAAAAAACGCACAGAGGGACAAACAAGGCAAACGAAAGATATTATATGTTCTTTTGTTTGCTGCTGCTGTTTTCTGTCGCGTATCGTGTTTCCTCCGCAAGGCGTTCCACCCAGCAAGAAGGAGAACAAAGAAAGAGAAAAAAAAACAAAAAAAAAACACTCGCTCACACACACATGCACAGTAAGAAGAAGGGAAGAAGATCCCAAAAGGAAAACTTCATTCAACACACAACGCACATTCCGTGTATAACCAGCCAGCGGAAGAAAGAGAGGAATATATATATACACGCGTGCACGGCCTGCTTATTGTTCAGTCCCCCTTAAAGAACGGGTCGAGCACGACGGCCATGGCCGCCCTCGCCCGCTCCTTCGCGATAGTGTATCCCAGCGGGGTTGCGGCGAGCAGTAGCGGGAGAAGCGCCGTGGCATCTGCTGCTGCCGTCTCCTGCGATTCCACATGGGTGTCTCGCATCCCACCGTCTTCGGCCTCACTCCAAGCCAAAGATGGCTCGCATAGAGACACGAGGGAGATAGTGCCTCTAAGCATGTCTGGTTTATGTTTTTCGTTAAGTGGCAAACCCACACCCGGCGCCAAAGTGGAGAAGGACGAGTCTACAGGCGCAGACGGCGGCGTGGCCAACGCGACTGGCACCTCCCGCTGCAGTTCCTCGCTGCATCCTTCATGCGTGATCACTTCGCTGGGGCGGTGTATGATGGAGGTCGCAGCAGGCCGGTTACGCTTCTCACCACCTGCATCGTCGTCAGCCATGTCAATTGATGGCGGTAAATGTACGCACGACGCCGATGACGATGGCGGTGTCGTAAAGAGGAGTTTGCTGTTGCGGCTGTTTGCGATATTCATGCTGCACCAGGTGAAGCCATGCTTGGGATTTCGCGTCGCGGAACCCCGCTGGCGTCGCTGCCTCCACCACCGCTGAAAGGGTGGGAAGGGTGAGGCAAACTCCGTTTCATACGGGATGCTCCCCTCATCGCCGCGCTGCAAGTACGGTGCCGGGTCCAGCACGGCCATGACGTGCCGTTTCTGTTCGCATGGCGGTGCGGTTTGCGTGAAGGCCCCCGCAACGCCCTCGCATGGAAGTGTCACTTCTTGCGGCGTCACTGTGGCATGCGTGAGAAGGTGCAAAAACAGCATACGTGCCTGCAACCGCGGCAGATGGGCGGGCTGCAGCGCCAGGGTAGGGGAGCCGGCGTCCCTGTAGCCGCTCCGGCTGGGGAAGGACGGCGTTGTTGCTGCGGCCCGGTGCATGGCGGTGTCGCCGTACAGCGCCTGCCGAATGGTTTCCGTCAACGCCTGCTCCTCCGCCGGCGTCACAATGTCATGCAGCGGGCGGGCAGCAGGGGCGGAGATGAGGCCCAACTCGTGGCTCAACTGCGGGGCAAACGCGACGACGTGCTTCCGCAGCAGCGCCGCCAGCGACGGCTGATGGCGGAGCAGCAACGACAACGTTACCCCCTCAAACGCCCCGCACCGTTGCCCAGCGATAACGGCACGTGTGGGAAACTGACGCAAACCCTCGCGTGCAAGACCCTCCACAAGATCTAGCGATGGCGGCACCCCAAGCCGCTCCAACGCCAACGCAAGTCTCTGTCCAAAACTCCAGCGTGCCAACAAGAACCCAGATACATCCATCTGCCCCCGCATCAACGTTGCAGACTCGTGGCGGTGACTGCAAGTAACTCCCGAATTCACGACGGAAGCGACAGGATGAGGAGGAGGAGACGAAGATGAATGCGGTGAAGTTGCAATACGTACAAGCGCATTCACGACAGATGCGACGGCAGCGTCGTACAATAACGCCAAAAGCTCCAGGTGTGCCGCAGTGGTCGTGGTCAGTGCCGCGCCGGCCTCCAGCAACGAGACGAAGGAAGACGCAGCAGCAGGCGTCAAAAATCGTGAACTTACCGGCGCCTCCAAGGCACGTCCTCGCCCATGCTTCGGCTGCTGCAGCTGGTGTGAGCCCTGTTCCGGTGGCCGTTGCACTCCAGCCGGGGCTGGGCGCGGCGCGTGCCCAGCGGGGGATGTCTTCACCAAGAGCTGCAGCTGCGCCAGCACCACCTCCACAAACGCCGTCCCACACGAGGGTCCGTCAAAAGGCGTATGTCTCACTCGGTCTATCAAGGGTGAAACAAAGACTGATGGAGAGTGTGCTGCGGTGGACACCGACGCACCGCCGGTGTGAAGCGGCACACTTCCAACGGATGTCGCCGACTGTGTTTGTGGAAGTGTCGCCGTTGCCACCAAGTTTGTGGCAGGGAGGCTGCCGCCCTCCCCCCTTCCCAGTCGCGTGCTTGAGTCCGCAGACACACGAAAGGCGGAAGAGGACACGAAAGTAGTCGAGCCTGTGAAGTTGCGGCTGCTGCTGACGCCTTCACTTGTACCACCGGCAAACGATTCAGCACCAGTAAAGGAGGCTGCGGAAAACGCAGGTAGTGACACACGCCCCACTGGCGTCATTGAAGCCAACGAGGAGGAGGAAAAAGAATAGCGTGACAAGGCGGCAGACGTGCTGGGAGGACAGCTTCCCTGACTGTGCTTAAAGGCGCCTTTTATGCGATGAAGCAGCGAGGTACCTCGTGCGTTGTCGATGTCACCGTCCAAGGTGTTGCGGGAGGTGAAGAGGAGGAGCAAATGCGGTGCCATACGAGGCGATCGTGGCGGCGCCGGCTGCATGCAAGCACCATGGACCAACCACCATTCAGGGACGGTGTTGTGGCACTGTTGCCTTACCACCGCCGTGCCGCGAAAACTCACTGCGTGGACCAGCAAGGAAGAAAGGACGGCTGTCTTCTTATCGCCCTCCATGCAAGGGCGCGACTGCGTAAAGCCGCGGTTGCCGCGCCGCGCCGCCGGAAGCAGTGTCGTTTCAGGTGAAAACCCATTGCCGCTTTTCACGGGCGCATACAATGTGCGAGAGACATGCCGCCCTGGACAGGGCGGCATTCGCTCCGGCGACAACGTGCATTGGGCGGCCGGCGTTGTTGTCATCCTTCCTCCTCCTGTTGTTGTTGTTGTTTGGGGTGATCTTGGCAGAGGCAAGGCTGGTGTGAGAGACACGGCCGCGGTGTCTGGGCTCCCTTCCTGAAGCTGACGGGTAGCCGCAGGGCTCATGCCACCGTGGGGCAAGCTGCCACTTTCAGACACCATGTGCATCATGCCCGCCTCCTCCTCTTCCTCCTCATCCTGGCGTTGCCGCTGCTGGTGCAGTCGCCAAGCACGATAAAACGCGGCAAATTCGCGACGATACTGCGTCTCTTCCGCCGCCAAGCCTGCGGGATCCCACAGGGGCAAGCACACAAAGTATGGACTGCACAGTCCCATCGCAGCTGCCGTGCTGGCGGAGGTGTCTCCGTTTACGCTACTGGCCTCCGCAGCGCCTTCCTTCCAGATGTGTGCAGGACGCCAGCAGCACACGGCACGCACACGCGCATACGCCTCACTGAGTACCAACACCGAGAGCAACTCCACAGATATGTCTCGCCACATGTCTGAGGACAGATATGCAGCAAAGACACGCTCCAGTTGCGCATCCCTTGCCGCCCATATCTCTTCCCAGCCTTGAAGTGAAGACGCGGACGCCGGTGGGTGGAACCTTTCGCTCGACGACGGCGCAGGTTCACGACAGCGCTGTGGTGGAGCAGACGACAGTGGTGAGTCCACGCTCACGTCGTTTTCACCCTGCTGCTGCAGTGGCTGCAGATGCGTGAGAGCCACATGCACCGCAAAATGCAACGGGGCAGGCTGAAGAAAGGTGGCAACAGCAGCTGGTGTGTCGCACGGTGTGGGCGCCACCGGTGCCAGGCGCTGCCACGCAAAGTCCCGAGGGGAATTACCATCACCTGCTTCACAGGGACGATCACACCTCTCACATGCGCCTTCGCAGCCGTGTGGAGTGATGACGGAAACACCCACCGCAGGGACCCCGCTCGCCCGCACCCGACACAATCGACGGCGTATTAAATAGCGCCGTATAAATCGCCACACGGAGGACGGGTGAAGGGCGGCCTCAAAAAGTATCACCGTGCCAGGGACATACAGCCAGCGGCCAAACGGCACCGGCAAGTACGACACCAGTGGTGCCGGTGTCGCAGCGACGCCGATCACGGCCGAAAGAGCCTCACTCCTTGCATAGGCCGGGGGATGCAGGCGGACGCCAAACAAATAACGCGGCGGTGTATCCATGTGGTGGACATCAACGTAGTGCACACACACTCCGGGCAAGTAGATAGCAATCATGCCCTTAATAAATAAAAATGATACACGCGTGTCGTATGTGATGCGGCAGCGTTCGTCGGGCGTGAGCGGAATTGTGACCTTCACTGCATCCACGTAGTTGCGGAGCGCCGTGATGGTGCAGAGTATTGCGGGAGGACCGGGCTCCACCACGGCGACGGTGCACGTCGCTGGACGTGGCGGCTGCGGCGCCGATGCCACTGTCCCACCGGCCTCCCTGTGAGCATCGGAAGGGGGATGTTCAACACACCTTACAATGTGCGTGCCGTCTCCCAACTGCGCCGTCATTGAGAGTTGTTCCTGCGTGCGGCTGCAGTCACGTCGGTCGTCCGTGTCGTTAACAGCACCTGTCGATACGCATTGGGAAACGTCAATACCTTGCTGCAGCGCTTCTCGTGAGGCCGCGGTGCGGCTCTCATCGCACGAAAGAAAGATCTGCTCACACAGTATGGAGTCCCGCGCCCCATCTTCGTATTGCACAGGCACGAGTGTTAGGTGCATCCGCGAGAGAGCGGAGCAGCAGGCGGTCCCCCATGGCTCCAGCAACACGGCTCCGCTGCGGAGAACCGCGCTGCGAGGAGTGTCAGTTGGGGCACCGGACACTCCAAAGCCGCGCTCCACGACGAGCGGCATCGGCATCCTCGTCACCTCTGCGACATCGTCGTGGCGTGCCAGTGATGCATCGGCGGCAGAAAACGGTGCAGATGAAAAGGTGTGACGTCGCCGCGGAATATTCCTCTCAAACTCGCAGCGGCGCTGATCGGGGTGTCCATGGAAGGCGACGATGCGAAGCTTGTCGTACGTCGGAAAGGCCGCCCAAAACGACAGCCGCTGTGTGACAGGGTCCCAGTGGTGCCACTTTGGGTACTGGGCCAGGCTCCACTGCGCGGCCGACCGTACCTCCAGCGTTCGCCGCTCGACCACGGCAAAGGGCGCCGATGTGGGACGCCCGCCCTGGCGACCACGGGCGTGCTGTTGCTTCTGGTGGCGCGACTCACCCTTAAACCCAATGAAACGAAACGCGCCCGCGCCAGACGACGTGTCTCCCTCCTGCACATACGACACCTCCTTCACCTGCAGGCCCTGCTTGGCGTAGTCGCAGGCGGAGATCCAGTAAAACGTGGTGGTGACCCCTCGCTCGCCGCGCTGCTGTGTGGCATCGGTCGCCTTGCGCTTTAAGAAATACCCCGCCTGGAAGAAGGCATTCGCTGGAAGCGAGACAACGGTAAGCCCCCCTGCCTCGCCGGGCGGCACATCGCTTTGCAAGGAGGCCTGTCGAGGCGCAGGCGTGGATGTCGTCGCTCGCCCAAGTGGATCCCTTTCCTCCTCCTTCTCTGCTTTGCTACCCACTTCCTCGTGGCCCTGCGCCGCTGCCTCCCCCGCAAGACCCCTGCAGCGTGTTGTAGACGTCGACCGGCTCGACGCCGCGGTCGTTGTGAGACCCGCTACGTGAACAGAGAGCGGGACGCTTATTTTTTCCGTCACAGTAGCTTCGTAAAAGAGGCCGGTTCCAACGACGTGCAGCCACACAAAGTAGCGGTACGGAGCCATGTCGCATGCCTCATCTGTGGCAGCAGCCAGAGGGGCGGCAGCCGCGGCGTCCGTGCGTCGTTGCAGAAAGCGTCGAAGACTCGCAAAGGAGCGTCGCTCGTGGTGTCGCTCCCCCTCCGGCATCGCCGCCACCGCCGTCCGCGTCTCCAAGCGCTCCGTAAAGGACAACATCAACCCGTGGTACGCTGTCCCCGCTGCCGCCGCCTCCTCACAAGAGCCGCCTCTCGCCCCTCCAGCCGCACAACTATGACCACTCGCCTCATTCGGCCGCATCCGCGTCGGCGTCATCGCTGCCGTGGTCGGTGGGGCCGAGGTTGGCATGCACGATGGCGGCGTTGTCAGACTCGCCTGCACGACGTCCAGCACACCCGCACGGAGCAGCAGCGGCGTGCGGTCAATGAGTTGAAACGACGATGACGATGTGGGCGCGTACGACGCGGATGCCGCGGTGGGGGACAGGAAACTCCCCTCCGTATCCTGCTCCAGCGGGCAGGTGCCACTCTGCAGCAAGTCCCACAGGTACTGCAGCAGAAGGTCCGGCTCCCGGTCCATGAGCGCCTCCTCCAACGTGCAAGGCGACGGCGGCGCCGTGTCTGCCGCGTACGCCTCCGGCGCAGCTCGATCATCCTCCGCACCGCAGAACGCACAGCGTACCGCCTCAATGGAGGTGTCACTTCCATTGCAGGAGGCCACAAGAAGAGTCATGAAGTACACCACTGACAACGTCGCCCCACCACCACGGCCGCCGCCGCCGCCGCCGTCACACACGTCAATCTCGCCGGTGGCAAAGGATGAGGATGAGGATGAGGACGAGGTTGCTGCTGTTGCCGCCAACGCCGAATCCAACACACACCTTCCCTCGGAGCTACGGAACGTCAACACCGTCTCCTGCAGTGAACCCGAGGTGTAGCAAGAGCCAATGAACTCAATCCCCACAAGCCGCTCATAAACGCCAGGAGCAACCTCCAGCCCGTGCCCTGCAGAAGTGGATTGCGGTGGGCAGGAGGACGATGGCGTGCGTGACGCGTGGCGCCATGCCAGTGGAAGAGCCGCACACGTCGCCTCATCACCCCCATCCCACACCGACGCCTTAACCGCACGAAAGTGCAACATGTCTAAATGGTGCACCTACACGCACCCGTTCTCTCTCTCTCTATATATATATATATATATCTGTGTGTGTATATATATATTGTATATATGCAGGCAAAGGGCCCGTTCAAAAGCAAGCTGGAAAACGCGAGAAAGTGGCATAGCTGTAGTTAGGCTCCACCGACGCGCAGAAGCTTGGCAAAGCAAACAGAGAAGCCACAACGTGGCTATGCATGGCAGCGCCCTCTGGAAGGAGGAGGAACCCTCTGCTGTCGTCACTACAAGATCGCAGAAACGCCATTTTGCTGCGGTTTTGTGTGAAATCTACTCGCGCCGCCAGCTGCTCGCCCTTGCTGACTGGAAAACACTCAAACACACAAACATATATATATGTATATATATATATATAGAAGAAAAAAAAAAAGAGAAAAAGCGACGGTGCCCCGCTATCCCTTCTCTCGTCTTGCGTGTGTGCGTTTGTCTGTGTGCCGCACCACCCTCCGCCCTCGTCTGTTATACGAGCGGCTGAATGTATCCACATGCCATCTAACCTACAGTTCGAGAGAGGCAACGGTGTCCCACATCCACGCCCACGTGCAGATGTCATCGCATGCAGGAGATGCCAGCAAGAAACATACATATCCGCTTTGCCGTTTGACGGCCGGGCGAGAGACACCATTCCTCTATTTTTTTTTCCTTCTCACTTTCGCTTCACCAGCTACACCATCACACCCCAATCGTGAGCGGCAGATAACCGGAGGCCTGCATGCATCTCCCAGTGGAACCAATTATTCCCTGATATTATTTTTTTTTTTTTTTCAATGGGTGGGGGGGATAAGAAAACGTGTATGCACCCACAAACGCAGCGGAACAAAAAGTATCACACACACACGCACGAGGCAACAACAAAAAAAAAAAAAAACGAGGAAAAATGCCGTAAGTTAGAGAGAAATAAATGAAAATGACGCGCCCACTTATTATAATAACAGCAGAGGCAGCCGTGGAAGTGGTGGCGTCGTACCTCACAGTCGCATATCATATTGTGCATCATGCGTTCATACATACATGCCCTGCGACCACTGCGACCACGCCTGCCGTGTAACAGAGGAAGGGCGTGAGCGCAGTGGTCGCAAAAAGGGGTGGGAGGAAGGGGTGGGGAGGGGATAAGCAGGCAGCCCACATGAGGTGCGACGGTCGTACCTCGACGGAAGGCAATAGGCCCAGGTCGCCCAGCCAAACAAAAACAAACGGAAGGACGTGTGTTGCCATGGAGGAAGATGCACCAAAAACCAAAAAAAAAAAAACAACAACAACAACAACAAAAGAAAAAAGAGGAGAGAAGCGATGGATGGAGAAAGGGAGGGTGCAAGACGAAGAAAACAACAACAATAAAAAACTTGCACTTTAGCACCCCGCCCCTTTTACGTCTCTTGTCAGTAAACACACGCATGCGGGTCACGGCCCCCTCGTCCCCTCGTCCCCTCGTCCCCTCTTCCCTTTCCTCGCACGGCTACCCAGACAAGGACGACGCAGCTGCAGCTGCAGAA